CCCCCCGACTGTCTCTCCATCTCCCCTCCATGACCCTGTCCCTTCTCCCGAGACAGCTGCGGCAGGGCCTTCCGAGGACTCGGCACTAGACGCTCGTCGGGAACTGTCTCCTTTCGTCTTCACATCGACCCTGTGGGAACGTATGAGGGTTACCCCCGGTTTACAAATGAAGTCAGCACCCCGGACACTCCAACTCCAGAACTAAAGCTCGTGACCGTATTGCAAGAACTCTTTCTAAAACCCGGACTGAATGGGGCCTGTGCCGCGAGGGAGCGCTGGATAAAACACCGGCCGGTTCCTTCCCGTCTGGCTTCCCTTCTGCAACACTCGGGGGACAACAGCTCGTCACTCATCGCTTTAGACTGTTAGGTTATGAGACAGTGGATTGGGCCGCAGCTCATTCCTACCGACAGTCCCGTGAAGAAGTCCCTTTGAAGGCGTCAGGTCCCTTCGGATGGCCAGTCCTACCAGGGCATGCTGATCCTAGTGTCACTTTCACGGGGACATAGCGTCCTCCAGTTTCATCCCAAATATAAATAAAAGTGGGAAAGTCGTCAGAGAAGCCCGAGGTAAGTGTTTTCTTGCCCAGCCCCCCAGGCAGGAGCCCACCTGGCCTAGCAGCAGAGCAGCTGGTGCCCACCAAAGTGTCCATCATTTGTCACCAAGCCCTGCGTTGCCAGTGATGCGGCTGACGGGCCGGGAACCACAGTGACCAGTCCTGCAAATGCGTCTGTGACTCTCCTGCCTTAACAGAGTTCCTTCTGAAATGTCAGCCTGTCTCCACGGCACCGAGACGAATCAGAAAAAGTTTTCGCCCTCACACTCCAATTCAGCTTGTCAGCGTAAGATGCAAACGCTCATCAGAACCAGAAAGCCACGACAGTGTTTTAACTGGGGAGCATAGTTTCCTTCCGGTGTCTATAAAAATATGTATTTCTGAGAAAGAATTTTCTTTTTTAATTTTATTATGGAAAAATCTCAAATAGAGCCCGGCCAGCATGGCTCAGCGGTCGGGCATCGACCAATGATCCAGGAGATGGTGGTTCGATTCCCGGTCAGGGCACATGCCCAGGGTTGTGGGCTGGATCCCCAGCAGGGGGCGTGCAGGAGGCAGCCGATCAATGACTCTCATCATTGATGTTTCTCTCTCTCTCCCCCTCTCCATTCCTTCCTCTGAGGTCAATAAGGACATATTAAAAAAAAAAAGAAAATCTGAAATACATACAAAAGTGGTGGTATCCATCCAGTGTATTGGTGAGGGTTCTCCAGAGAAACAGAACCAATTATATGTATATTTACATACAGGGTTTCCCCCCCAAATGTATACACACTGGAACAGCTGACAGCTCAATTATGAAAATGAAATGTACTTTAATAAACATTGCCTTTATAATTATTCAAAGTGTGTGTATACATTTTGGGGGGCCACGTTATGATTTTATATAACTGATTATATATAGATACAACTTATAATCAATTATTTATGTAAATTGGTATAATTATGTATGATTTTATATAACTGATTATACATATATATAATTTATATAACCAACTATATAAAAATTTATATATAAATGGATTATACACATATATAATTTACATAACCAACTACATAAAAATTTCTACATAAATGAATTATATACATATATAATTTATATAACCAATTATATATAAATATATAAATTTATATAAAATATATATATATAGAAAGAGATTAATTGACTATGAGGAATTGGCTCCTGCAATTATGGAGGCTGAGATATCCCAGGATCTGTCATCTGCGGTCCCATCCCCAGCCCAGCTGGTGCTGTAGTTCCAGTCAGAGCCTGAAGGCCTGAGAACCAGGGAGCTAATGGTGTAAACTCCAGTCTCAGCTCAAGCGGACCATCCAGAGCGAGTTCTCCCTTCCTCTGCCTCTCTGCTCTCTTCAGAACCCCCCATGAACTGGATGCCACCCACCAGCATCAGGGAGGGTGATCTCCTTTATTTACGCTTTACTGCCTCTCATCTAGAAACACCCTCACAAACACACCCCAAAATCACGTTTAACCAAGGACCTGCGTGCCCTGTGACCCAGCCCAGTTGACCCATAAAATGAACCACTATATTCAGTTTTAACAATTTTCAACATGGCCAAGCTTGTGAGACCTGGAAGCCTGACAAAATTCAGGTTCAGTTTTTTGGCAAGAAGACGTCGCTGTGGTCTTCCTTTGTGTGAGGATGCTCATCACGTCGGCGTATTTCTCTTTTTTGTGACATTATGATTAACCGGTGCGTTGAGGTGTTGTTAACCGCGTGATACATTTCCCCATCAAACACTCTCACAGCTTTAGCAAGCACGGCTGTGCTTGCTCACATCCATTATTTCATTAGGAGTTGCTAACGGTTTTATTCTAATTACCGATCTCCATTAACTCGCATTTTGTTTTGTTTTGTTTGTTTTTTTAATCCTTGCCTGAGGATATTTTTCCCATTGCTTTTCAGAGAGAGTGGAAGGGAGAGAGAGAGGAGAGAGAGAGAGAGAGAGAGAGAGAGAGAGAAAGATGGGTGTGACAGAGACGCATCGATTGGTTGCTTCCTGAATGAGCCCCAACCTGGGCCGGGATCGAGCTTGCAACTGACGTACGTGCCCTTGGGCCACGTACGTGACAATGGGCCAGAATGTATGTATGGGTGCAGGGGTATGTGGGAAATCTCTGTATCTNCGCATCGATTGGTTGCTTCCCGAATGAGCCCCAACCTGGGCCGGGATCGAGCTTGCAACTGACGTACGTGCCCTTGGGCCACGTGGCCAGAATGTATGTATGGGTGCAGGGGTATGTGGGAAATCTCTGTATCTTTCCCTTAATTTTCTGCAAATCTAAAATCAAATAAATAAATCCTAAGAATATGTAAATAAGTTTAAAGAGTAAAATGAAGAAAAAATGTATACAGTAAAAATTCTCCCTCTCATTCATCTAACAAGCTCCCCTGGAGGAAAGCCATGTAAGCATTTTCTTACGTATTCCTCCATAGATGGCCTGGACATGTGAGTAAGTAACGCACAGCCCTCCCTGATCCTTTTACATATACACAAATGGTAGCATCACATGCATGCTATTTTAATTTTATATAAAGGCAGAACTACCCTGCCTAGTCCCGTGAGAAATGTAATCCCAGAGTAAGGTCATGGGTGCAGACCCCGAAGGTTCCTCCAGGCTGTAGGAGGATGTCAGGAGTGATCAGGGAAGATACATAGGAGGGGACACGTCACCCGGAAGCCGGGCAGAGTAAAGGGAAATTTGGGATAATTATAGGGGGCACTCAGATTTGAACCGGGGACCCCCTCATCTGCACCCAAATGCTCTCCCCCTGAGCTATACCTCCCTGCTGGAACAAATGGGCCTCCTCAGGACTTCTCCATGGGGTAGCCACACCCAAGACACACCTGTTACAACTATAAGACCTAATGTTTGTTGAACACTCACACTGTGTTAGATAAACTGTTCTAAGAGCTGCATATATATCTACCCAGGAAATGGGTTTTGTGTCTGTGTTGCTATGGAAATGCTTTGTTTTTTTAATAAACAATGATTGGAATAAGTCTCTGATAAAAAAAATTATTTGCAGCAGCACTCTCTCCACCACCACCACCATCACCGTCTTTATCATGGCTGACGGTGACACAGGGAATTGAGGCAACCTGCCCCAAATCACGGAGTAAGGGACAGAATCAAGAGTTAAATGACTACCGCCCTGCCTCGACTCAGCTGCCCTTGAAGGATGGGCATTTAGGGCTTTGCTGCCTCAGGACCAACCCTTCTCCCGGCCCCGTGACAACCAGCAGCCCCTCCTCCTCTACCCCTCTGCAAACTCTTCCCTCCCTTTATAATGCAGTTGCCCAGAAAAGCAGGGAGGGGACCTAAGCCAGGGCCTTGAGAGGACCCAAGAGAGGCTTTCGGAAGTCAGAGCACTTGAACTGAGCTTTTCTAAATGTGTGAATTAATTCATTAGCTTTTGTCTGAGTAAAGCTCTCACACGGCACAGAACCGAGAAGGAACTAAGCAGCACTGTAGTGATACTTTTGCAACATATACATATATGAAATCATCCTGTTGCCCACTAAAGGTCTACAAGGTTATATGTCAATTAGATCACAATAAAACCAGGGAAAATGTAATACAAATAAAGTAAAAAGAAACCACGGAAGTCTAGCTAACATGTGTTCACCATACATAGTTACGATTTTTTTTCCTGGTGAGGAGAACGTGGATGATCTACTCTCTCAGCAACTTTTGAATATACAATACAGGATTATTAACGACAGCCACCATGCTGTACATCCCAGGAGTCATTCATCTTCCAACTGCCTTGGTTTCCTCTTTTGTGAAGTGGGGACTATGGATGGAAACACCTACGTTACATATGAATGTGAGGACATCTCTCAACAGAGGGCACAGAGTCAAGAGGGGAGGGCCGCCGTGGGGCAGCAGGACTGGGTGGGTGGGTCCTAACTTCATTCTAGGGGGGATGCTGGATCTACAGAGACCAGGGAAGCCGGCTAGGAGCCCGGAATCCTGGAAAAAAAGAGATCCACAGGGGGCACCCGGATTTGAACCGGGGACCTCTTGATCTGCAGTCAAATGCTCTACCCCTGAGCTATACCCCCAGGTGTGTGTCCTTCCTCACTCACGCCCTTATACTCACACAGCCACACCCAGGCCCTATAAACCGTCACATCCTCGGCTTCCTGTCTCGTTATTGCTCCAAACTGGCCTCTCTGCTCCAACCCACTCTCTTCCCCAAGTCTGGCGAATGGGTGATTTGGCCACAACCTTTTGCTCTCAGCAGGAGACAGCAGGGGTCCAGAGGCCCTCTGGTTACAAAAGCCAGGTTTTCGGTGTGGAGCCCTCTCCCCACACCAAGCTCCGGGTCTGAGGGCCTGGCCCCCGTGTTTACTGGTCAGTTGCCCTCCACCTGTCATCTCTTCTCCACCCATCCTTCTTTTTGCCCTTTTATTCGCCACCTGTCTTTCCTCCCCCCACTATTCCCCGACGTCACGACTGCCCTCCTCCCTACCTGCCCTCCTCTCCTAGCCACCCAGGCCTCCCCAGTCCTTGGTCTAGTTCCAGCGTTGCCTTTTTAAAACTGACTCCTTACCTGAGATATAAATGGAAGGCAGGCCTAGGAAACAAAAGGTGGACCATTTCTCCCCAAAACAAAATAGATGAGGGAAGCTAAGGAAACTGAAAATAACAGAGCAGGACTGGAGGCCTCGCCCGAATAAATCGTAGAAGGTCTACGGAAACCAAAGACCGGAAACAGCCCCAAGGACAGGTCACCTGAAATCCGGACCTGGGAGGACACCCCAGCACTTAGGCAGATTTAATGAAATGAATTTAATGAATTTAATCACAGCCTACCTGCTCAGCTGCCCCTTCCACCACCTGCCGGCCTCGAAGTTCCTCTCTTGACGCACTTACATTTGCATTGTTTGCTCCATGGCATAAAGGCAAGGGCTAAAAAAGAAATAGGGCAATTATGGGTGGCTTTTGATTTTTTTTAATGTTGACACTATTGCAGATGTCCCCCATTCCCCCCCCTTCGCCACTTCCACCCA